GAGAGTTCAACTCTCACCTGAATATAGTCTTAAATAAATTGAGCACTGGCAAGACTGTCAAAGAATTAAAAAAAAAATAAAAATTGCAAACAATAGCAAGGTAAGTATAGAATATATTATCATCAGTGAAGAGGAGAGGTCCCAAGATGACCACCCTGCAATAATAGGAGCAGTTGTTGGTAAAGGCTTGGCTTCTGCACCACCTATGAAAAATATTTGGGAGGGCAAAAAATTAAGAGTAGAAAGTTGTGGCTCTTTTGGAACTTGTTCACTCACTCTTTTATTCGTATTATTTATAAGAGGAGGCTCATGCTCAACTGATCTTTCTGGGACTACTTTATTATCTTTCTTTAACACCAAACCTTGGAGATGAGAATTTTTCTTTATTAAATTTAATTGCAGAGAAGACAATCTATCTAATTTCTGTTTATATATGATCTCTGTTGCTTCTATCCCTTTTTTTATATATTCTATTTCGTATTTTTTTGAATTTAAATCCCCCTTTACCCATCCCAATTCAAGCCTAAGAGAATCAATTTCAGATCATATGGGCTAATCGGATGCATTTCAATTAATGTGATATATTCGAATTGCAGATCAAATTTTTAGCAAAAGCCAATTAATTTGCTTTTTATAAATAGATTATTAATATTTGATTTCCTATTTTGGATATAGCGGCTTGATAGCGGCTTGATCTAAAAAGGAAATAACAGGATTTTGTCACAATTTATCACTTATCACTTTTATGAAATATGAATACATGTGATACTTGCGAATATATATTTTTGGAACCTCTTACACCTCAAAACTATTTATCTCAATCACATAAACCTTTTAAATTATTATCATCTAATGATTCTAAGAATCAAACTCTAGTTCAAGACAATTACCCATATATTCATGTTACAAGAATAATAAGTCAACGAAAAACTAACTATATTTACAAGTTGCTTTCACTTGGTTTTTATCCCTTGGCTGTTAATAAGACACGACGTAATTCACTTAATGGAACAATATACCGAATACTAGATAATTATTCAGTTTCAGTAACAATATATCAAACTTCAATTATATGTAAAACTCAGTATCAAAATAATGGTTCAGTAAAATATACAATAAGTTGGGTTGATTGTAATTATAAATTACAAAGACAGGTTAAAAGTTATGATTCTGCTACCGATGCTAGTAACAAGTTTTTACAGGTAATTATTGTTATTAAATATAGTCAATTGATACCAATACATTATTAAATATATATATTTATAGAAATTAGGAAAATCGAATAAAAGCTCAATCTCAGGAGTAAAGCTATTTGCTCTTGATTTAGAATGTTTAGAAAAACGCCGTGATGAATTAAATAGCCCTCAAAGTATACATCGACAAAGATCTTTAGAAGGACTATCATCAACACAACAAAATAGACGACTTAAATTACTTGCAAATGATATTAAAAATAATGTACAATCATTATTTTTACAACATAATACAACATCTTTAAAAGTAGAAAAAGTCGATCTTCGGTATAAGAATGATGTAATTGAGTTTAATTTTAAGTCATTAGTTGATGATTCTAATGTGAATAAGAACCTTGATTCTATAGTTTATGCTTGCGATGACGCATTAATTTCAAGAGATAGTTTACGACGATTAGCTGCTGTGATACCTGAAATAAATCGTGAATATTTAATAAGTCAGCGACGAATAAAAATTAACAATATTATGAGCAACAAAATTCCAATTAATTTATTCACTCTGAATAATTTTGAGAATGGCGTTTATCGAACTATTAAGTCTATTTTAACTATTTTGGTTTCTTATTTAGTAACTTCAGAACCACCAGTTTTAGCTTTTAATGATATAATCATAATAAAGATTGGAGGGGATGGTCGTCAAGTAGGACGTCAGCAAAATCATGTATTAATTACGATGTGTATTCTTAACGAAAAGGATGCAGTATTATTTTCAGAAAATCAACACAGGTATACAAATTTAATAATTTATATTGATATAAGTGCTGCAAAGGGAAAACCCACAAATCTTATCTAATAAGATATGTGAATTTTCTCTTAATGGCACTTATATAATATTTGTCACTATATAAATATTGTATAATAATATTAAATTAATTACAGCATTTGTCTTTATAATGGAGTTAAAAAACGTGAACTACTTGCAATAGCATTTGGACTATTTAATGAAGAATTAATTGATTTATCACAAAATGGATTTTGTGATTCAAATAGCAATAGGTGGCCCATAGAATTTTGGTTTTCAAGTGATTGGAAGTTTGCTACTTTAGCTATGGGTATTAATGCCGCAACTACTAATTTCTTTTGTCTATATTGTGATTGTGAACGGAGTGTGCGTTGGGATATGAACAAAACTTGGACAAATTCAGTTAACACAAAAGGTATGTTTTAAAATTATAAAATTTTTAATCAGGACTGTAAGTCTTTCTTATCTCAAGAGTTTTTTATATCGATGGTTTTAGTTTACATGTAATTTGTTTTAATATAAATTAATTTTATTTTAATAAAAGGATATAAATATCCAAATCTTTTACCATGTATTTCACTAGATCATTTTATTCCAGATGAATTACATTTGATGTTACGAATTGTAGATATCTTACTAGAATGCTTTTTTTATGAACTTATGAAGGATCCATATTTTAATCGTTTATCAAATTCTGCTAATAATACTGATAACACAACCATTCGACAACGAATTGAATTATCAATGAAATCAATTGGTGTTACATTCCGATTTTATGACCCTGAAACATCTGGTGCAAAATTTAAATGGACTTCATTAATGGGACCAGCAAAAAAAAAAATTTTAGAAAAATTTCCGGTAACTTCTTTTATTTCTGGACAACGAGGAAAGGATATTGAACAATTATGGAGAAAATTTTTAAAGCTTTATTATATAATGCAAGACAAAGATCCATCTAATGATACAATTAAATTCTTTGAAGCACATTCACGGGACTGGGTTAGAAACTTTTGTCGGCCTACTCAAAAAACTTATGATGGAAAAATTAAACAAATAGGTCTTTATAATAGACCAGATGTCAGTCCATATATGCATGTTTTTGCATGTCATATTGCACAATTTATGTATATTTTAAAGAAAAAAAACTTATCTTTGCGACTTTTTACTACATCAAGTTTAGAATGAAAAAATCATGATCAGGTAAGACTTTTATATTTATATAACTTATTTAAATTATTAACTCTAAACTATTTACTAATTTTTTTTAAGGTTCGACTATTTTTTGGAGGAACTACAATGGGAGGTGGACAAAATAATTTACCTGTTGTTCATAATATTTGTTTATATGAAAATCGGCAATTATTTTTTTGAGTTAACAAAACTCCAATTTATTGCAATCAAAAAAAATTTTGTATTGATGATACAACATTAGATTGAAGGTTATATAGCAATACTGTATTGGTGAATAAATTTCAAAATAATAGAGTCTTTGTCGATAAAATGACATTCACATTTTTTATACAATTATCCTATCATTCAGCTTTTCACACTTTATACTAATTTATAGAATTAGTGAACCCAAAATCAAATCTTTTAATTTTGTATTTCACGAATCAGATTTGATGCTTGTGAAAAATCAATTCATGATGCTAGATACAAGTGTAGTAACTGTATTGACTTTGACTTGTGCGGCAGTAGCAAGGTAGTTTAATAATAGGAAATGGTAATCTTTTCAATTATTAAGTTAATATTGAATAACTATAAATTTTATTGTAGTACCTGTAGTTTGTATTAAATCTTGATCATTTTTGTTGAAGAATTTAACGATTTTAATAGCGTTTTATAAAGCACAAATATGTGTCTTTATATACATATATACAACCTGCCAACTTTATTTATTTTTTTTCAATCTATTTCTAATATAGTTTAGTCCAAAGTGGGAATTAAATATTTATTAAAATGCATATTTCCTGCTATTCCAATATATACTGGTAGGTATTAGATATGTTTATACGATTTTCACTTTCTTCTTTAGAAATATTCTATTTCTATCCTACCTGTGGTTGCTAATTCCTCGATTTGCATTTTAGATATCTCAATAATAACAATTCTATAAGCAAATATATAAAACTTAAATATTGATAAATTTGGTTACCAAAGTAGATGAAAGTAACAAACAAATTGCAAGATCAACAAAGTTAATTTTTAGAAACATTTTCTGTAAGTTTACAATAAGTTTACAGTATATTGATATACAATTTTTGATTATATATTAATAGTATATTTATCAATAGTCGAGTATATTTTCTGTGATCAGCACTATGAAGTTCAAAAATTGTATGTATATATATATATATAACATATGAGTGATACTACGAGAAAACGAAACTTCGATAATATAAATCTTATATAATCGAAGTTTTATTTTCCCTTGGTATTACTTATATATAAGTAACCTGGGTAAAAAAGTTACGGCAATGTGCTACACAGCATACCATATAGCTAATTATTTACTTAAAATGAACAAATTTCATTTTGTAGTATCAATTTTTAAATCTATCTTTTATACAATAACATTTAAATACATATATCAGGTTTGGGTTTTCAGTAAGCCTGGCACGCAAGTGTAAAGTAACGGACAATCTGGCTAGATAGATATGAATCGTTTTAGATATAGTAAATATATAATCATAAAGTAAGCTCAGGAATTTGTCTAATTCTTAGAACTATCTGATTTTTTAAAGATAAGTTAATATTATTAATCATTATTATATTTATATCGTATTTATATCATTTTACAATTAAAAAATCAGAATAGCGAATTTAGCATATGGACTGATTTATAATGCAACAATGAATATTAGATAGGTTTAATTCTAATTAAGTTCAAAAAATGGAGTACGCATAAATTCTTCGGCCTGATAATCCTCTGAGAACAATTTAAGAATAGACAAGCGAAAATAAGAATGTTGATAATTGTATAATAGAATTTTAATTTAAAGAAGTAATTGAATGAATTCAGCTAGTTGAATAATATCTAAAAGATTATTGATATTTTAAATTGGGTAGTATATGAGTACTATAAGGTGAAGTTCAAAACTATGTACAATCAATGATCTTTAGTTCATGTTATTTTTTTTAATGAAAGTTTTACTTTTATATATAACTTATATAAAGTCAAACCTTGACTAATTTTGACACATACTGTAATAATAGTAGTAAATTAGTTGTTCAGATAATTAATTTAAATTTTACGCATAATATACATTGGAACGCTATTAGAAACAAGGACATTGTCTGAGACATTAATATTCTCACGTATATAATACAGTTAAACTGTAATAATATCGTACTATTTTATTATTACAACCAACAAATATTTACATATATTTATTATAATTCAAACTTTCAATAAAAAATATTTATTTTCTATGTTTGTTAAAGGAATTTCACTCTAATATTTAAAAAGGTTTATTAAAATTTTTCATTAATAAATATTTAAATAATTAATAATTACATACTGGATGTATAATCATTCACTAACAATTTCAATAGTTTCGGTATTAATTTCAAATGAAAAGGTTATAACTCCGTATTTAAAAGTCTTTCCTTTTTCTCTCCAACAAAATTTAACTTCTTTTTCTTCGATCGTGTTGTCATTTAAATTTATTTGACTAAAAACTATATAAGTTTCTGTGCTAGTTTTATCAGTTACTTTTCCCTATTCATCAAAATTAAATAGCTTCGCGATTCATTGGTAGCCTTGTAATCCTCTAAATATGCAAGCATACTTTCGTTGATAGTGTGTATATTGAAAACTTTGTTCATTTCGAAAATAAAATGCAAAAATATTTTCAGAACACGGAAATTCTATAAGTTTAAGACCCTGAGTAGAACGATGGGAGGTCAAACATTTTTGTACAAGGTTTATGAAAGTTGAACAAAATTGCTGGCAATCGGAATAAAGAGGAATATAAAGAGGATATTGACTATGAAGAGATTTATTGTTTTTGTGTTTCTTGATTTCATGAACCCTTAAAGAGCCCTTATAAATGTAAGTTTTTGAACAAAAGCCACAATAAAATGTTGGTATAATAGAAGTTAGCATGACGCGTAAAATAATGTCTAAAAATAGATGTGATTATTATTTTTATTTTATCACATTTCAAATGATCAACAAATGCATCGAATTAGCCCATATGTGAGTTTATTTGGGGTAGCTTCTCTAATAACTCTCTCACTATATTCAAATCCTGAAATACATGTGGTGGAAAACCTACTTGTTCTTGTTTTAGGTTTCCTAGCTTGGTTTCTAATTCATCTATCTTAGCTTCAAGAGAAAGAATCTTGATTTTATCAAGGGATAAAGCTTTTTGGACCAAGGTTGCTTCTCTCTTCAATGATTTAATTGAAGATTTGAGCGATTTTATTTCGGAAAAATGTTTAGCTTCAAGTTCATTATGGGACATCCGTTCAGAAGTAATTTGAAATCTAAGCCTAGTATTGATCACATCTATCTGGCTAATCTTATTTCTAACATTAGCACTAATTTGCTAAAACTCCTTTTCTCACCCCAAATATTCTGAATTTTTAGCCTGCAATTTTTCATTAAGATTATTAATTTTAGAGTTATATTCAATAGCTGAATTTAATTTTTTTTCAAGCTCTTGCTCATATATACTACCTAGCCAGTGTTCTCTATCTTTTATATCTTTTAATGTATGTACATTAGACATAATCTTGGCATGGTTATATAGCAGGAAAAAATATGTTGCAATTTATTTTTTTTACAAATATTATATATATTGATATGTATTGGTGTATATTGAAATATATTAATATATATTGAAGAGTATTAATACGTATTAGTAGGCATTGAAATATATTAATACATATTGAAAAATATTGATATACATACAGTGATATGCATTGATATTTATTGAAGATTATTAATATTTTTTTTCTAGTATATAAAAAAATCTAGTAAAGATGGTAGCCCATATTCATAATACATTTTATAATGCTAAGGCAACCTTGTTATCAGAAGCTGATATCAAGGAAATTAGAGAATCTAGAGGTAGGATACCCAATACATTAAAAAAAATGACTAATAAATTCTATATTGAACCCAAGCATGTTTATGAAATATGGGATAATAAAGAACGTCTTTAGCAAGGTATTATTCCATCTTAGCCTGTTTTGGTTGAGAATTCTCAAACTAGTAAGATAGAACAGATTGAGTCAGATATACATAACCAAAATACTTTTTTCTTTACAGAACTAGAAAATAAAATATGTAATATGAAGGTAGAGTCTAGCAAATCTACTGATTTGACCCTAGAAGGAAGTAAGGTAAAAAAATCTGGATGAAAAAAATCAAAACCCAAAAATGAGCTAGCTCCATTAATACTATCTACTATTCAGTCTCAACCTGTGAATTTAAAAGGCTTAGATATAAATAAAGAGAAATTATATGTATTATATGAGGAGATAGTTGAAAGAAGCAATAAAAATTTAGCAAATGTGAAAGTATAACTTTGAAAATAACTAACCTATTTTTAAAGAAGTTTATCATAGCATGTCTGTAGTTTTTCGCAATATTTATTGATTTCTGTGTTATACTTGAGAGTGATATATAGCATTTTTAAAGCTCCTCATAGTTTATAAGTTTTTTTTTAATATATCATCATTTTTACTTAAGTTTTGCAAGTCTTGTGAAATAGACTCTGAAAAGACAAACTTTTCATATTTAGAAGTAATGTTTGTACAATTTACCTCAAGCTTATTTTTGACCTTATACATGGTTACCGGAATAATATAGTCCTTTCCATTATGAGGAAACTTTAATTCATTTTTACTCCAATCCACAGCACAATTATATTTCTTTAAAAGCTGGTTAGAAAATATTAAAGTTGGCTTGTTATATCTTACAACAACAAAATCTTCATAAATGGTAAGTTCAGAAGCTAGAGTAATAGGTAAATCACGAACTACTCCAATAGATTCAATTGGAATAGTGGCAATACTACTAAGATCATGTGTTTCAGACTTATCAATTTTAGCCTTTACACAATCAACAATATTTTCAGTTACTATAGGAGGCTCTGCTCCAGAATCGAGAGTCATAGCAAAGATTTTTAAACGCTTAATTTTACACTTCACAGTTGCAATACTTGTGGGTGGCTCCTTCTTTTTGACGAAATCAATTTCTATAGAACTATCTAAGTACTCTTCCTCTTCTGTGTCTAGTAGTAAGTCTTTAGAAATAAGTAAATCTTCACTTTGGGGCTTTATTTTCTTCTGTATAGGAGGTATCTGTTTTGATGTATTAGCTTTATTAGAATTAGAATTAGTATTTGGGGGGAATATTGCAGAAAAAATTAATTTAAGTTCACTTTGGAGAACTTTATGAATAGTTTCCTCTAATAAAGTTTTAGATGTCTTTTTAAGAGATGATTTCTTGGAACTAGAGTCTTGCTTTACTTTTTTTTTAACTTAGCCATGTTAACAGTAATATCACTTTCAGAATCAGAAGAATCTTCTGAACTTGTATCAGAGTCAGAACTGTCACTAGATGATGTATTAGTGGTAGAATCTGAATCTAAGTCTGAATCTACAGTGGCTAGGTTAACCTTATTCTTTCTAGACTTCTTGCTTTTCTTTTTATTCTTTCAAGGGCAGTTTCGAGAATTGTGACCAGACTTTCTGCACTTGAAACATTTGTAGCCTGAAGAAGATTTCTTAGCAGCATATTTGACAGCAGTATTTATAACACTATTTACTGTTAATCCTGCTAAGCTATCTGAAATATCATCTACAAAATCATGATTATTTTCATTAGAGGGTGTATATATGGTTTTTTTCTTAGTAAGTTACTCAAAAAATGTATAACGGCAGTATTTTTCACTCTCTTATCAGCTGATTTTTTACTATTATCTAGAGTTTTAGTCACTCAAAATATAGTCTCTTGCAAGGATTTAGCTACAGCTTGTAAATTAGCCTTAGTAATATTTTCCTAACCAGAAGAAGATGCTGGTGATTAATTTAGTGTTGATTGCTATAATGCCTGAATCCTACTATTTACAATTCTATTAACATCTTCTGTAGTAATACTCTGATGAAAAGGCGTTTTTGGTTTTGTCTTAGTAGCAGGCTGGTTATAAATATCTTCACCCAAAAGTATGTCATTCTTTTCTATTTTAATCTGTTTCAAGGTTTCAATCAAATCATCATTCAAAGGTCTGTTTAAACCTAATCGCTTCAATTCTAACTTGTTTTTAGGGGACAAACCACATATAAATTGTATTCTTTTTTTACAATCAGTTATTCGGGCCTAGCTAGCATATTTATCTATCTTTCTATAGTAATCTTTAACTAAATCAGATTCTTGAGTCAAAGTACCAAAAATCATTTGTTGTTGCTCTCGAACAACTATAGAATAATTTTTTTTAAACCAATAGATAATCTGACTAATATTGATATCAGGGAGAACTATATATTTATTATTATTTAAAACTCCATTTGGTGCATTAGTTGCTGTACTAGCATCTATATGACATCCCTAGCAAGAGACCAATCCTCATCCATATAAATATTATATGCTGGAATAACTGTGGTGCCAGTAGCTTCACCTAGTAATACTAGTAGTAAAGTACCATCTGGTATATTGATCATAGTAACCATTATATTAGCATTATTTAGAGCCACTATGGCAGCCATATTTGCTAAAGTATTCCCACATCTTACATGATTCAATCACTATTTTTTACCTATAAGTTTGTCTTCGACCCAATGTGATGCCTCACCTGTCAAGCATGACTGAAATAGTTTTAAAGCTCTCTGTTTGCCAGCCACATTAGCAGTATTAATATTGGCTACTATAAGATAAAGTCTATAATCTTTTATAAATTTATCTATATCTTTATCTGCTCTATCTGAAAATCTTTTGGGTGCATATCCTGCTATTCCTATTTGTTGTATATTAGATGGATTATTCTGTAGTGCAAAAATTTGTTGATTTAAAATTAAAATATTCTGGTGCTCTGCATGAGTTTTATTTTTCTATTTCTCATATCGCTCATAAAGTTTGTCTCTATTATATTCTAACAAACCTCTATCGGCTTTGTATCGTTGTAGGTGGTGGGCATTTCATTGATATAAGATTTGTAAGGCAAATTTTTTCTGTAGTAATACACAAATACAGGTTCGCTTTCCTGTTATATTGTCTAACATTCTGTTTACTTGATTCAGAGTATTAGTCTGCAACTGATCGTGCTCCTGTATCGCTTAATCATGCTTCTACCTATATATATCATAGTTCTATTATTCATTTACTAGTTCTTGTTATACAAGTTAGTGTATTTACGTTAGATTGATCTTGTTGATCTTTTAATTTGATTTGTTAAAAGGGTTTTATATATTGTTATATCATTTAGGGATCAGTCTATTGCATTAGCCAACTCGGCTATTGTGGCCATATTATTATCATAATTATACAAGTCTAGAGAATTTTCATCAGAATTAGATTCATTTTCACCAAAATTTCATGCCTGTACATTTTGTAAAGCCTCTTGTATATTTCTAAGTTCTAATCTATCTCTATATCTTAATAAGGATAATGCAAAATTTTGACAAAGCAGGTTTGTAATATGGCTTTTTTGTTAAGTTATTTT